AATGGAATACTATGCTGCTTTGAAAAACAAAGAACAAATGAAATATTATACAAAATGGGTGACCCTGGAGGACATTATGCTGAGTGAAATATCTCAGTCACAAAAGGACAAATACTGCATAGTGCCACTGTTTTAAAACGGAACTGACATTGGGGTTGGGGGGAGACTGAGAAAGATGGGATAAATTATGTATTCTGCATTGAAACAGATAAGGGAGAGAACTGTTTAAAAGGTATATGTGATTAGGTATTATTGCCATGACAGGAGTACAGAACAAAAGCTGCATAGTGGAGTAGACTTGGGAAGGGGGATTGTAAAGTAATGAAAGAGTTTTTCTTTTACTTTTCAAATAGAAGAGCAAACTGAGGTGGGGGGGAGGGTGGCCAGGGAGAAAAGTGCAACAATGAATGAATGGAAATCCAAAGTCTCTGTAAATTTTCATTAAAATTAATAATAATAAAAAATATGATAGAAAATTTATTCTGGTTTACTTAAAAAGTTCATATACATTGTTTTTCACACCGTATCTTCTTGATGTGTCTTCAAAGGACATACCCTCCCCTGATCCCACTGGCTCACCCAGGCTGGTGCTTATTTGCAAGGCTGTGGTGGATAGACAATCTCAGGAACAGCCCCCCAGGTAGGCCTCGCTTTCTGGTAGACACAGGGCACCCTGAATGTAGATGGTCAGAGGCCCACCATGGTCACGTCTACCAGCTTCTGGATCATCTCCGCGTGGGTGCCATAAAAGGGCAGTCCGTCCACCTCCATTCCCACGACACCTGAGACTCCGCTCCGGACTTTGTGCTTCACCAAGATGCCCAGCATTTTTTCTTCCTGGGGACAAAAAAAGGAGCAGCGGTAGAAGCTGTGGTGGTTGTTGAGACTGTGTTAGTTCACTTAGCATAGTGCTCTCCAACCTCTCCAAAGTGACAAAGTATTTTTCAAAACTGTTGCCCCTGTGTGCTGCATAGTATTCCATTGTATAAATGTACCACAATTTCTCAATCCATTTGGTTGTGGTTAGACACTTGGGCTGTTTCCATATCCTTGTGATGGTGAATAATGCTGCTAGGAACATTGGTGTACAAATCTCATTTGTGCCTCAGTTCCAACTTCCTTGGAGTATATTCCTCATAGTGGAATAGCTGGGTCATATGGAGTTTCTATGTTCAACTTTTTGAGGAAACACCATACTGTCTTTCTGAGTGGTTGCAACATTTTATAAGCCCACCAACAGTGTTATGAGAGTTCTCACCTCTCCAAAATTTATTGCTTGCTTCCCTGCTAAACTTTGCCACTGCTACTGGACCACTAGGGCTCTTTATGTCATCACAAAGCACCTTACCTGTAGAAGACTCAGAGTCATGAGATATGATACAAGAAAGACCAAACCAGCCAATCCCAGCCTTGAAAACAGATGCAGAGGAAGGGGCTACAGCCAAGGAAAGTGGGTGGCTGCTAGAGGCCAGGAAGGGCTGTAAAGAGATTCTCTGCTAGAGGGTCCAGAGGAACAAAGCCCTGAGACACCTTGACTTAGTCCACTGAGACCCACTTGAGACCTTAGAACTTATTATTTAAAATACTAACACTAGTGGCTTTTTTTAGTTTGCTTGGCTCCACAGCCAACACTCTCGGCACCAGTAGTCAGGAAATTAAAAGATGTATTGCCATGGGAAAGTCTGCTGTTAGGGACCTCTCCAAAGTACTGAAGAGCAATGGTGTCTCTCTGGAGACTAAGGTGCATCTGATACAGGCCATGGTCTTTGCAATCACTTGTTATGCATCAGAGAGTTGGACAATGACCAAGGAGGATAGAAGGAGAATTGATGCCTTTGAGCTGTGGTGCTGGAGAAGAGTATTGAGAGTACCACGGACTGCTAGGAAAACAAACAGATTCATCCAGGAAAGGGTTAAACCAGGCAGCTCCCTGGAGGCAAGGATTCTGAGGCTCCGTCTAACATACTTTGGACATGTTGTAAGGAGGGACCAGTCCTTGGAGAGGGACATCATGCTTGGTAGGGTGGAGGGACAGCACAGGAGGGGCAGGCCCTCTATGAGGTGGACTGATTCAGTGATTGGGGTAATCGGGATGGGTGTATCGGAGACAGTGTGATTGGCACAGGACAGAGCAGAGTTTAGGGCTGTTGCACATAGGGTCGCTAGAGTCACAAGCAACTCAATGGCACATAACAACAACAACAACAATACTACCACTACCACCACAAGTGACATTTATTTCATTATGACCATACAATATTTCCACTGTCATGGCTGGTAGTCCCTGTCTTGTTTAATTTTGCTTTTCTTGGAGTTTCTAAAATGGCTTAAAAACCACACCACACCACACCAAACCACACTACTCCAAACCACACCATACCACATCAAACCACCACCACCACCATGAAGAACAATAAACAACTCCTGGGCTCCCTCTCTAACGGCTGTCTCTTTTCTTATCCCTCATCCCTGCTGATGAAAAAGACACTTTCTGAAACCAAAGCCAATTTTCAGAGGATGGGAAAACACATGAATCAAGCAGGAGAATCTCAATGACAATCATTCTGCGATAGTCCAAACAAAACACATTATTTCAGCCTTCAATATGGACATGGATTGCATCTCCACATCAAGAAAACAAAAAATTTTGACCACCAGATCAGATGGAGAAAAGATTGAAACTGTCAACGACTTTGTCTTACTTGTATCCACAATTGATACACTTGGTACCAGCTGTCAGGAGGTCAGGAGACATATTGCACTGGGATAGTCTGTAGTCAGGGACCTGTACAAATTATTGAGGAGCAGTGATGTTAGTTTCAAGATTACAGTGCTGTATTCAGGCCACAGTCTTTTAAACTACTTGCTATGTATTTGAGACCTGGACAGTGAATAAGGATGATAGGAGAAGAATTGATGCTTTGATCTGTGGTGTTAGATAAGACTATCCCATTGACTGCCAAAAGAACAGATATGTCTTGGAGAAGAAGGTATAGCTAGAATGCTCCTTAGAGGCTAAGATGATAAAGCTTCACCTCACATACTTTGGACATGTTGCTTGTCCAAGAAAGACTATTCATTGAAGAAGGACATGATGCTCGGAAAGGTGAAGGGACAGTGAAGGAGAGAAGACCCTAAACCAGGTGTATTTGATACAGTGACTGCAGCAAGGGGCTTGAGTGGGTCAGGAAGTGAGAGGATGGCACAGGATAGGATAGAGTTCAGAGCAATTGTTCATAAGGTTGCTATCAGTCATACACAACTCAGTGGCACCTAACAACAACACATTCCAAAAAACCAAAACAAGACAAAAAACTCACGCGAAAGCACCAGTCCCTGCATTGCAATAGCTAATGTGCTCAGCTACTATGAAGTTGGGGGTTCATTTCTGCACATTGGCACCTTGAAAGACAGGCCTGGAAATCGACATTAGAATAACCAAGCATCGCAAACTCTCTCCAGGCATAGGGCCACTATGAGCTGGAGTTAATGTTACGTGTTAACTCCAGTAGTCAGCTGATTGGTGACTATTCTCAAATGTGTGGATCTAATCTCTGGAGCTGGAGTCAAGAGCCCTATAAGAAACAGATCACAGCCTTGCCCTGTGCGGCCCCATCTTCATGATCTCGGTCATGCTCGAGTCCACTGTGATAATCATTGTATCAGTCCATCTTGTTGGGGGCTTTCCTCTCTTTCTCTGACCCTGTACCTGTTCCAGCAAGAGGTCTCTCTCCAAGAATTGGTTCCTCCTGAAAAATTAAGTGAGATGAGTTTCACCATTCCTGCCTCTTAGGCACTCTGGTTGTACTTCCTTCAAGACAGATTTCTTTGTTCTTTTGAAAGTTCATTCAATACTTTTCTCCAACACCTCAATTAAAAGGCATCAATTCTTCTGTAAGCTTCATTCATTGTCAACTTTCAGATGCATAGGAAGCAACCGAAAAGACCATGGCTGGTATCAGGCACAAGTTAGTATTTAAACTGACAACTTTGCCCCTTAGAACAGTGGAGGGATCCTTGACAGTTAAGAGTTCCTCAATGCAATGCATTTTTTTTATTTCTTGATTCCTGATACCATTGATTGTGAATCCAAGTAAAATGAAATTATAGATAACTTCAATCTTTTCTCCATCTATCATAATGTTTCCTATTGTTTCAGTGGGGAGGATTTTTATTTTCTTGATATTGAAATGTAATCCTTTGATTTATATGTTCCCCAAAACATGTATTGACTTAGGCCATGATTTCTGAGTGGTTTGGCAGTTTAACAGATAATTTGGTTTATACAATGATGCAATTTTCCCCTAAGAAATTGTCTGATGTGATTAGTCATAGGATTAGGGAATGTAACACCATTACTCAGGTCATAGCCCTGACCTGATATAAGGGGAGTTTCCCTGTGGTATGGTCTGCATTACCTTTTCTCTTACAAGAGTTAAAAGGAGAGAGAAGTCAGCTGAGGTGGACCTCAGGACCACAAGAAAGAGGAGCCAGGAGCAAGTTTCGTCTTTTGGATCCGGGGTCACTGTACTTAGAATCTTCTATACCCAGAGGAGGAGAGGAAGTGTTGGTGGTTTAGTGGTATAGAGTTGATTTGCCAACCCAAAGGCATGTGATTCAAATCCACCAGCTGCTCCATTGAGCAAAGATGAGCAATCTCCTCCTGTGCAATTTACTGCATCTGAAAACCCACTGAGGGTCAGGTGTGGGATAGAGATACCCGGGAAAGAGATGTCCAGGACCCAAAAGATCTCTGATGCTGATGGAGAAAACGTCCTTCCTTTTAAACTGTGGCCAACAGCGAATGCCTTCCCCTAGTGCTAGTCCTGGAGCCCAGAATTCCCACTTCTAGTCTCTGGAATTGTGAGAGAACACATTTCTGTTAGGGTCTTCCACTTGAAGAAGTATTTCTTTTATGACAGACAACTAAGAATTAGTTAGCTGAGATAACTAAGACAGGTTCAGACCCAGGCCGAGCATCCTGGTGAATTTTCCAACTTTGGTTCTGCAGCAGCAAGAAGCACAGCTGCTCATGGGAGAGACCTGCGTTTTCTTACCCGACACTGCACATCATTCTTCCTGTAGGGGTGCTGGAGACTAGGTCTCACCTATCCCATGCTCAGCCTGGATTGGCTGCCAGGGTCTCTGGCTGTATGAGGATGACTCCTACTTCTCCTGAGACCCAGCCCACCAGTCTCCTGCACTGGACAAGCTGAGGTTTGCTGTTGCTATTTTCTGGTATTACCTATGTGGGTTTAGGAGCATGGGAGGGGACACACTATGACATGGGGGGTGGGCAGCCCATTCTGAAGCTGAAGGCCTGCCAGGCAGTGTGGAGTCTGACAGACCTGACTTGGGCCAATCCGATAAGGGAGGTGTTTGAACCTCTCTGTGCCTCAGTGTCTTCATCTGCGAAATGGATAGATTGATTGATGGTAATAAAACAGTGACTTGAGAGGATCATGAGGATAAAATGAGATCATTCAAGTAAAATGAGCACCTAGCATTGTCCTTGGGACACAGTTATTGTGTGCCATCCAGTCACCTACGAGTCATAGCAACCCTATGAAAACAGTGCTGAGCCTGGCCTGATCCCACACCAGACTCATGGTTTAGGATCTGCTGAAACCCATTGTACCAATGTATCTCATTGAGGGCTTTCCTCTGACCTTCCACCTTTTCCAGCATGATGTCCTTCTCCAAGGACTGGCTCCTCTTGACAACATGCCCAAAATATGTGAGGCAAAGTCTCACCATCCTTGTCTCTAAGGAGCATTCTGGTTGCATCGAGACAGAATTGCGCTGTTCTTTTGGCAGTGCATGGGATACTCAGCACT